TATTGAGTTCTTATTGTGCAATAGGTACTTTTGTAAGTCCTTTACCCACACTCACTCAATCAATCTTCACAAACCTGTTATTCCCATTTTACAGATGAGGAAACAGGAAGTTGACATAGTGGGTGGCAGGACTGGGAATCGGGCCAGTCTGGTTCTAGAGTGCAACCTTAACTGTCATGCTGTACTACCGCTCAGCTCCTCGTGTGACCTGCTCAATGGTTTTGTTCATTCCATCACTTAAAACTCATCAATTGCATGGGGCAGGGGTGGGAGGTAGGGGATTTGAACAAGCTCTCAGGAGAGCAAGCTGATGAGTAGGAGTACCTGGCATTGGCTGACACGCTGGGTGGTCAGTGAAGTTGGTTGTTAAATTAATAAAAAAAAAACGTGGAAAAGTCATGCAATGGGATTAGCACAGCTCTTCCACTAATGGCATCTTGGGCAAGTCAACCTCTCCTGAGCAAATTATCCTTATCCATAAAATGGGTATAACCCAGGGGTGGGCAAACTTTTTGACTCGAGGGCCACAATGGGTTCTTAAACTGGACGGGAGGGCCGGAACAAAAGCATGGATGGAGTGTTTGTGTGAACTAATATAAATTCAAAGTAAACATCATTACATAAAAGGGTACGGTCTTTTTTTTTTTTTTTTAGTTTTATTCATTTCAAATGGGCCGGATCCGGGCCCGCGGGCCGTAGTTTGCCCACGGCTGGTATAACCCAATTTGTCTTGCCTGCTTCTTTGGGTAGTTGGAAGGATTAAATGAGACAAAGCCCCGTGTAAGCTGAACAAACATTTTTGTGAACTGTAAAGAGCTGTGGATCCAAAGGGTGTCATTTTCATGGATGGAATGAGGGGGCGACAGCCTGGGGCCTCCTCTGGAGACACATAGACTAGCACATGTGCAAACACTCCAGGCCATCATCAAGATGATTGCCCCAGGAGGGCCATCCACAGCCCTCATCTGCTGAGCCAGGCATCAGAAAGTGTGCTTGCAGGAGTGCAGCATGAGACTGCCTGGCACCTGCTGAGTTACATGGGGTAAGGTAGAGATCATGCAATT